CCACATGCTCGTGAACCTGGCCCTCATCACAACCTGGGCGAGATTGTCGGTCCCAACCCCAACTTCGGCGAGATCATCGTCTTCATCTACGCTGTCAATACACGCTTCAGGGCCATCGTCGTCCTCACCATCATCTTCAGCGCGAATACACGCTTCAAGGCGGTCGACAGCCCTCGTTGAGGGCCATCGTCGTCCTCACCATCATCTTCACCGCGAATACACGCTTCAAGGCGGTCGACAGCGCTCGTCGCGACTGGGTCAGCGACTTGAGAGCGGTTGTCATGACCGGCTTTGTGTTCATCAGGGATCCCGACATCATCTGGGGCTGCGTCGTGGGAGGGCTGCTCGGACTTGTCCTTGCGCTGATTGTAAATGATGTATTGTAGGATGTATTTCATGTAGTTTGAGATCTAGATGTACGAGTTGTGGAATAGTAAAAAAGAAATAAAAAATCAGATGTGGAATCGGGCTTCGTTGTCGTCCGAGGAAACACCCGACTTGCAGGCCGATACATTATTACTTACTGCAACACAAAAGCATGCGCGGGAATGAGACACGATGAATTTCGCACAGGATCCATGAGCTCGTGGACATTCGCCCGTCCCTAAGAACCGTGCTTGACTTCCGGGGTGGCGCAGATCTCTAAAGACCACCAAGGAAATAGTATCAGCACATAGCCAATAGGTAGGATGGATCTGCAGCGCAAAGCCACAGGTGGACATATGAGAGAAGAAGCTTCGAAGCCGGGATTGATCAGACTTCGACCAAATTTGGCCATATACACGTGACCGTGGATGCTCTCAATTTCCTTCAGACTCTGACTCTCATGACAATGTCGTCTGTGGATTTGCTCTGCAGACTGCTGCTACTGGCTCTGCGCTGGTAGTATCAATTTGTTTCCCTGCGCGATTCCCAAGGATGAGCAAGTCGCTTTCATCGCAAACTCAGACCCAGACTGCGACCGCTGCTACTGACCGCTGCTACTGCTCTGCGCTGGTACCATGGCTTACATCGCAAACGCAGCTACTGGCTCTGCGCTGGTACCATCGCTTCCACCATACCGCGGAGCTGCCAAGAGCCCAATTCCCCTCCCCCACTGACCGATTGCGCCAGCAATTTTTTTGGGGGCGCACTCTCGCGCGCTGTGCCTGCGGAGCCGCCTGCATGCTTTCCTCACTCCCAGCTGCGCCCCCACGTCGCTGCACAACTCTCCCGGTCACTACCCTCATCGCCGCCAACGCCCCGCAACTCCAAACATAGTCCCCGTACTCAAGTGCACTTCGGGTTCCGTTCCCTTCGTTATCTTTGGACCGTATGTAAGTTTGAAGTTTCATCCTTCAAGTAATCTCATTCGACTGACTGTCATTCCAGACCCAGTACCGCGCGCAAGTCCCACCCCCCGGCTGGGAGCGCACGCTGCACCCAAGTGCCCCCTCAAAAATGTGCTCTCCCAGTTTTTTATTCGGTGCGCCCCCGCCCTATTCCCGGACGCGGGTGGTGCTCCTTGCGTCCACGGAGCTCTGACCTCGCCGCGCGTGTCGCTGCGAGCGCACGCTGTGCGCAAATCCCGCTCCCCTGAAAATGCGCCCGCAATTTTTTTTTGGCGTGATCTCGCGCGCTATTTCCGCACGCGGGTGATGCGCTCCGCGTTCGCGGACGTTCTACTCGCCGCGCCCGCTCCCTGGCATGTGGCGGCGTCGGGGGGAGCGCGCGCTGCACCCAAGTCCCGCCTCCCCCTCAAAATGCGCCCTCCAATTTTTTTTGACGCGCTATCCCCGGACGCGAGTGGTTCTCCCCGCATCTGCGGAGCTCCGACTGTTGCCGCGCGTGCTTCCTGGCATGCGGCGGCGTCGGGGGAGCACACGCTGCACCCAAGTCCCGCCCCCTTCAAAATGCGCACGCCTCCATTTTTTTTTTTTCGGGGCGCTCGCGCGCTATCCCCGGACGCGGGTGGTGCCCCCGCGTCTGCGGACGTTCTGCTTGCTGTGGGCGCTCCCTGGCATGCGGCGGCGTCACTGGGAGCGCGCGTTGCACCCAAGTCTCGCCCCCCTCAAAATGTGCCCTCCATTTTTTTTTCCTCGGCGCGCTCGCGCGCTATCCCCGGACGGTTCTCCGTGTCTGCGGACGTTCTGCTCGCCGCGCGCGCTTCCTGGCATGCGGCGGCGTCGCTGGGAGCGCGCGCTGCACCCAAGTCCCGCCCCCCCTCAAAATGCGCCCTCCATTTTTTTTTCTCGGCGCGCTCGCGCGCTATCCCCGGACGCGGATGGTGTTTCCCGCATCTGCGGACGTTCTGCTCGCCGCGCGTGCTCCCTGGCATGCGGTGGCGTCGGGGGAGCGCGCTGCACCCAAGTCCCACCCCTTCAAACAATGCCGCTCGCTTTTTTTTTTCTTCTCGCGTACTCCTGGCGTTCACTTCAAGGTTTTACGAAGTTCGAATGTCGAGATGAACATATTTAGCTCCCTTATTTTGTTGTACTGGCTGCATGGTGTAGTGGTAATTACCATGAAACCGGACATATAATACATGAAACTCCGGTGATTTTCACCGGAAAAAAAAAGAGTGAAAAATAGGGTGAATTTCGTTCACTCGTGCACGCTGACCCGCTTTCTTTTCTACCTAGGATACCTTTCGCCTTCCTCAAGCCAGCTATCCTAATAAATAAAAACAAGACATGCCTTCGCTTCGCTCTGGCATAAGGGCAGACCGCCGCATATTGAAAGGCTACCAACCGTTATCCGGGTAACATTGTAAAGTGAACACGTATTTAAAAAAAATGGATCATTCACGCAAGATATCTACATACAGACATCTGTGCGATAAATCAAGGTACAATGTAATCGGTGACCGCTCATTTTATCGGCCCCAATCACTGATTATTATGCATTCCGCACGCTGGAAGGATTAGTGAGTGAATAGATAATGGATGGAAGAGAACTCAACATCTTTCATACTCGAAAAAAGGCCAAGAAACACCTGAATGAACATTAGTTTGGAAAGGGTCTGCGACTCGAAGAGCCAATGTGACAAAACATACATTATATCAGCAGCAGTTGAATACCGATGAAATCCTACAACGCCACCAACCGAACTGGTAGGTTAGCATTTGGCGTGAGCACACATGGAATTACCTCGATGCGGCTTGCAGTGGTAACTTACCTCGCCCGTGGGGCTTCCGTGAATCAAACGAAGAATGTACCATGTTGGCCTGTAATGCGCCGAAGAGGTTAGTATTCATGGTAGAGTACACCATATGCCACGACGCACGGAAGGTGCATTTGTTGCTTCGCAAGAAGTCCGAAGTTTCAATCAAAATGATGGCCGGCCTCAGACGCGTCGGGGACGCTCTCAGACCGCCGGGTACGGCGGCGTGAGGACTGGGATTTGAGACGACGTCAGCGGCGGCGTGGACACGTATATGATCAAAATCCATAGAAATATATCAGTATCGAACTCGATGAATAAACTGATGAATGAGCTTACCAGAAACGCGTTCTTGACGGCGCAAGTACGCGTTGGTTGGTTTGCGCGCAAGACTTTCTGGACAATGAGGTTAGGGTTCATCCACGGCGATGCCCACGCGTTAGGCCTCATGGTACTGGTTAGCGGGCTTCCTAAATACATAAATAAACCTGGATAAGGAACTCACCGTCGAATACTGTCTCGTTCGTGCGACCTCGAAAAATCAAATCAACATCTTGTGACTGCCTCCGAATGTCGTTGAGAGGTTAGTGAAAAGCTGCGTAGGATCTAAAGCACTTACCTCATCGCGTCGCCTGGACGAGGACAGGTGAACGGACAGGGTGACAGAGACGGCGGGGAGAAAGGAAATTGCTTGAGGCGCATAATGTCCGGTCCGAGAAGTCCTTTCGGCGCGTAAACAGTGAGAGAACTTGAATTGAGAGTGGGAATGATAAAACAAACCCTAACTGTGCTTGCCCGGTACGGAATAACAACCAAGAGCCTGTATTTCCATTGAGCTAGGTTGTGAGTGGAAACAGTGCAAGATTCAGAGCGGGTTACCCGGCGAATAAGTATGACCCATCCATCCCTATCCCACCCAATAGCTGTGATGGAAATCCTCAGAGGGGTTCGAAATTTCAACAGTCCCGACGCACCTTAAAGTTGTACCGCACTACCTGAATCCTGGGTTCGGCAAGTACGACCTGGGGGCGAAAGTTTGTGAATTGGCTAGAAGTGCATAAACAGAACGTATCGCGCCAGCTCGAGCCTTAGGACGCCCTAAGAAGAGTTTGGGCTAGTTGCGGAAGCACGACGGACGGAGCGATACAATATGGGCAGAGATGATGGGGGTTGCATGCAAGAGACGAAGGAGAGACCCTTCCTTTTGAACGGAATTTGAGCGGCTGATCGGCGAGGTCTAGAATAATATAACCCTCGCCCAGTCCCCTGGATCGAAGCCAATCTCCGATCCACAGGTTAGGAAATGGAATGCACAGACGGGAATCGCCGGCCTGAGAGTGGGAAAAATTGGAAGACTACAAACAGGAGCAATTTTATTTACAGGGAAAAGGCAGACCTAATTGAGGAGGCTCGGGGCTGAAGGAGGGAACGTGGTTGAGCCAAAATGAGGTGAATGCAAACGTGGGAATACGGTAATAAATCGAGGTCCAGCGTGAGTCTGATACTAATCTTGGATGCTTCGGGGAAACTCGGAAAGCAAAAGGAAACTAAGTGCTATTGTTGGGCGTGCCGAAAGCAGGCTGTGGAGCACCTGGGAAAATCGGGTCATCGAGGAACAGACACAACACGACCAATCTGATTCGACACATCTGCTTAAGATACGAGTAATAATGCTTAAGATACGAGTAATGCTTAAGATACGAGTAATTGGTATACTTGCCACAAACTCCCTCATAGTAAAACGGCGAGGTCGCAAGGACGCTAACGTACTCCTGGTGTTCACTTCCCATCAACCCAAGGTTTTACGAAGTTCGAATGTCGAGATGAGGATACTTTACTCCCTTTGCTGTGTTGCAGCGGCTGCGTGGTGTAGTGGTTACCCGAAGGATTTATACCTGGTAGTTTGGGGTTCGATTCCCCGTGCCGCCTGAAATGGCATAGCAGTTCCTTTTTGGCATTTTTTTGGTTGGCGTGCGCCTTGCCCCATCGAACACTGTGGTGTGGGCTCAGTGTGGATTTAATTCAATTGGATTAATATGCGCATAATATGCGCAGCAGAAAACGAAGAGGCAGATAGGCGTATATAGGCGACTCAACTGAAAATATATATTATTGTGCAGACTTGAGTGTTCAGTTGTAAGTCGAAATTGATTTTGAATGTAAAATGTACCTCTCCACCGACTGCCCCAGGGCGCCCAACCAGAACTCGATAATATGCTCAAACTCCTTCAACCCCGCCCGCCGCCGAATACGAATAAAATTTCTGGTGCTTGACCCAGCATCCCGGGCAGGGGTAGGGCGCTGATCGCGATGCCCAAAGCATTCTGGAAGTAATTATAAGTCTGTAACAAATCGGGAATAAACGAAAACTTACCCAGAAATTTCAGTGTCCGTTTTGTACTGTCAAAACCAAATGAATTCCATGTCGCGACACTTGTCGTGGTAGTCGCACTGCTGGTTGGGCACGTCGATGGCGCACCCGTTTTGGCATCGAGGGCGTCGACCCAGATCCCGAGTTGGTAGTCGAAGACGCGAACGAGGCGGCAGATGGCCGCAAGTATTTTATGTATATCCGTAGCACTTGCAAACAGTTAATTACTTACTCTACCCAGTATATATTCGTACACATGCAAAAAATCCGTGAAAGGAATGTGGACAGGAAGGAAAAGAGTCGTAATTATAAAGACCCAGCACGAAGCCAAGCTGAATCTGCAGTGCGAAGCCGCAGAGAGGACGAATAAGAGCCAGTACCGAATTGGGCGATGTGACAAACATGTCACGCGTCACTGGCGCTTCCTCCTGCTCTCATCGTCTCGACTTGCATCTGCGGCTTTGTGCTGCAGAGTTTGCCGGCTTTGTGCTGGCAGACCCTCTTACATCTATGATCTATGAATGCCGACGACGACGGCCTGCTCGCTTGCCCGCAAGATCGACATTAAATACAACTCTAAAACCTTCGCGCGATTCACATATCGGTGAGTTATCCACTCCTAAGCCATGTGTACAAGGTACTGACTAGCCATGTCAGCAAAGCTTGCAATCTCCAGCTGCTCCGAGCTCTCGAGATGTCTGCCGAAATCCTCGTAAGTAATTTACTGCTTTTTTCTTGCAAGGCACAGCGCTGACAAGTTTCGGGCAGTATTTGGGTGGGTGTATTGTCTTTTCACCACGGACTTCATATCTATAAACGACGACGGTGCGCGTCTCTGTGGATTCTACTATAAGAATGCGCTGAGCTAACTCACCAGCAGGGATGAGAACAAACTAGTGGCTTCCACCTGGGGCTTTGCGCGGCGTAGACTAAAAGTACGCCGACGTCGAATACTCGCCAGTTGCTTTGGTGCTGACGATTTTTTTTTCTTGCAGAGTTTAATGGGGACAAGATTCGGAGGATCGCGCCACGCCAATTCTCCTGATTTTGACCAGCAGTCTCGACGCGTTGTATCGGTCGAGTTGAACATGCGTGCAAGCTCCGTGCATTTGTGTTAAACATTTGCGCAAGCTTCGCTCGCGTGTGTCGCGGTCGACTTCTTTTGGCGCTCTCGACGGCTCGACTCTTTTTGAATACGGCATGCCATGGCCTAATTCTCGACGGAGAGCCCGCCCCGACCCCCATGCAGCTCCATCTCAACTCCCCCCGCGTCTGCGAAGCCCTCCGTGCCCCACCCGCGGTCCCAAGCACGCGTGAAGCTTTGTGCGCTGGCGTAGGTTACAAGGTATGCCGACGTCGAGAACTCTCTAGGTGCATTGGTACTAACGATGAATTTTCTTTTGCAGATTTTAATAGGGAGCAAGATTCGGAGGATCGCGCCGCACCAATTCTCCCGATTTCGACCAACGGCCTCGACGCATTGCATCCGTCGAGTTGAACATGTGTGCAAGCTCCGTGCGTTTGTGTTAAACATTCGCGCAAGCTTCGCTCGCGTGTGTCGCGGTCGACTTCTTTTGACGCTCTCGACGGCTCGACTCCTTTTGAATAAGGCGCCCCCTGGCTACACCGGTAAGTCACGGCCGTGCGTTTTCAATCTCATATTAATGCATGGCAGCAGAGCCCAAGGACATCTAGGTCATACTTCGTATATTAAAGAGATGTCTCGAATCAGATTGTATCTGTTTGCCCATCGCCCGTATTTATCGTTTCTTTCCCATCTAGCTGTCTTCTGACTCTAAATTCCGTTATCTCGGTCGCCTCGAGGTTTTTCTCTCACGTTTATTTATCAACATCACAAATTAACTTCAGCCTTACCTATTCTGTGCTGCTGTTGATATGCCGGCGTGCTCCACCGCTCCAAGACCCTACAAGAGATGTTCCGCTTCTTTCCTTCGTTCCCCCATCATCCCCCACCAGTCGTCTGTGCCCACTGCCGGGGCTCAATTACTTTACTCCTATATTAAGCAGATGCCTTGAATCAGAGTGCATATGTTTGCCCATCACCAACATCCAGCCGCTTTCTCTCATGCACGACGAGTTCGGAAATGTAACCTCTGCTTTGGCCTGATAACCATCTTTCTCGCCCACGCGCACAGCCCACACGAGCCGCTCCAGCCCCACTCAAAAGGAAGACCACCACGTAAACCTGTCGCCTGCTCCTCCATCCGCTCCCTCAGCATTCGCCACTCCCCCACCAGTCACTGCCGTCCTCGGTGTTTTCAAGATATTTGTGTCCCCCCATGAACTGTGGCTTGGTTCTCAACTGTCACTCGTCTTCAACTTGGCTCTGGTTCTAATGACTCAACGAAGGAACCGCAAGTCCACGCAAGTCGGGGGGCAAATCAAATCCTCATCAATCAACTCAACCCCGCTCATCCCGGCCAGGATCTGCAATTTCCGCGCGACGGTCACCTGAAGGTCATGCCGCTGTTCGCAGCTATTCAACAAGACATCAACCCCCCGTGTTGTTTTTCTTCTTCCGGCGCAGCATACACTGTCCAAGCAATCCTCACTCGTTTTTGCATCGCCGGCAACACACACATATCTGGACGTTGAAGCCTAGCATTCAATTTGAGCACTGGCTACCGCAACGCCGTGGATTGAGGGTCGTACTTTTGACGTTGAGAAGGCTGGCTGGGGAATGCTTGGTACGTCGTTGTCCCTCGATGCGGCTTTTGAGTCTGACTTCTCTCGCGGAGAACCCCCCCTCCCCGCCCCGATCTTTCCCGCGGCGCATGGGATGAGACATCGGGTATGGTCTTTGCCTTACATCGTCCCCTACCTCCTTTTAATTTTCTGTTTCCGCACCCCGCACGGCACGGGTGGACGCTGCTGTAGCAGCGAGGTACAAGGAGGCAGCGGACGCCTTCGTGAGGTCGACGGAGCTTGACTCCCGGTGGGTGGTTTGTTCGGCGTTTCTTTCCTTTCCCTTCGACGCCCGTCCATCCCCAGTGCCTGGAACATACGCGCACCTCCCATCCTCCGTCCCTTCCCTTCCTATCATTCCTCCGCTCCTGTACCGCCAATGTTAACCCACACCCAGGTCACACGCAACATACTACTTCGTCGCGGCGAAGTGCTACGTCTCGATGGACAACCACAACAAGCTGCTCGAGGCGCTTCCGGACCTTTTGGCATGCAAGAACATCAATGGGAAGGCCTTACCGACGGAGGTGTTGATTCGGAAGAAGGGTGCGCTGTCTTCCCTCATATCATGCTCGTGGCTGACGCACGTCCACAGGGTTTGAGGAGGCTATCAGTATTAGTCCTAGGAATGGCGCGCCTTTTCCATCTGCACGGAAGTTGTGCGGGCACTGATTTGTTTTTACAGTCTGTACATTTTCTGCCCCTCTTTTCAAATCGCTCGGTACTGATTGAATACACAGTCTGGAACAGCGACCAGCGCTTAAGCAACGCGATTACGGAGGTACACATCGTGAAATTTGTGACGCTGACTCTACATTTGGCGCTCATGGAGCACAGTCCGTTTTTTGCCTGCAATCGATGAGAAGCATATTGTGCCTGCGCAGGTGTGTCTCTTTTTCTAATTCCTCGCCGATCCTCTGTGCTAGAGCACCCACGACCTCGACACGCCGGAGGAACGCACGCTGCGCGCATTCCTGCTCCGCAGTCCTCACCGCACGCTGCGCCTCGCATGCGCTGCTTGAGGCGCGCAGAGCACGGCGGGCGTCAAGGTCAGCACTTGGATCACGGGCGGCGTGCTGTTCAAGCTCGCGGTGATGGACCCCAAGGAGGCGCAGTCCCACGGCGCGGCCGCGTACGGTGCGGAGTGGCTGCACGTGCTTGCAGCGGCGGAGGGATGAGATTTCAGCAAAGCACATTATGGTCGACAAGGGTCGGGCGTGAGGTGGGACGCTGTGGTGGGCGATCCGCGCGGGGTTGAAGGTTAGCATGCATAGATTTGGTAGTGTTATAGGCTTGATTTACAAAATACGGTGTTTACCTCGAACTGTTGGGTTTTTGCCGCGCGGCTGGCTAACCGAGTGATGCTCTCTTCCCAGTGAACTTGGCAGTAGGGTCCACAATACTATCCTGGAGGAGGTACGTGTTTCAGCAATCTTCTCCTCAGTCTGCTCTCACTTTGACCTGCATCCTCGTGGACAGGGCTGAGCTGCGTTGTAGCCAGCGTGGGCGTGTAAGGATTGTTACAACATCGATTCAAAAGGTGTGTGGGTGGGTGCGCACCTAACCCCCAGCCTCGGTAGGCAGACCCTCCACACCTTCATTTCGCTGGCAGCTCTTCTGCCCCACTGTAAATACATTTATGGGAGATATTGGCGTTGCAGTGGGCGGCCGGAGCGAAGCGACGGCATGTCTTGTGGATGTATATCTATATGCTGCCTGCAACCTTCTAGATTGCCCCCTCATGTACACAGTCGGTTTCCGTAATTTATTGTAGCGTTACTGCACGCAAGCTTCCCAATTAGATCTTCTGTCCACATCTAGGCCATGAACTCATGATCACTTTTGAAAGCGC